AAACACGTATTAAATTTTTTTCAATGTCTATTTGCTATTTTATATGATGTAGGTGGTGAACAGAAGGTGGCTGATTAGCGTAGGTTATGATATTCGAAACAACAACAAAACTAAGTAATTGAGTCCAAGTTTATTCCAGTTCAATAAAACAAGAAAACGCAAACAGACAGCACGTAATCGCAGCTTTGACGAGCTTCTTATCTGGTATTGGGCACGAAAGTAGACATAAATATACTTAAACATTATAATATTACAAATAACAATAGATGTAGAAATAGTTGATTTCTAGTATTAAGCATGACGATAGATATAAATATATGTTATTATCTAATATTAGTCTTACCAAAATGAGTATAATGACACCCCAATCTCACTCGAAACCTCATTAAATTCCCTTGTTCTAGGTACAAGTGAGTCTCTCTGAGCGCAAGAGATCTGTTTGAAGAACTAAAGGAGACCCACTAAAAATATTCATATTTATCTATCTGTCTACATATGTGACTGATGATATTCAGACACGTTTTATCACATTTTATATAAAATTATTTACTTTTTTTTATAGTAATAATAAACCTTATAAGTAATAAGAAAGAGTTTTAGTGTTTCGTTCTTGTTTTTGTTCAATCTAAGAATCAAAAAAGTTCGATGACTGGACCCAAGATCAATAAAAGTGAATTAATCCAGTTCACAAAGAATACAGGTGAATTCGATGACGAGGAACCCACTTTGAGACTAATAATGGCTGGAGACGGCTTGAATGGGTAATGAAAAAAAAACTTTTGTCAAAAGGTTTTGTCATCTGTGTAGAGTAGTAGTCTCAAAAAATATTTCATATTGAAATATAGTTTGAAGATAATTTTGAAAGAGCTTATTACACGTTGGATTTAATGTTTTAACAAGAAGTCTAAAGCATGGACGTTTGTGGGCTCTTTGATTTGTGACTCTTGTGTAAGTACAAAAGTATTACGAATGCCATCGAACCTAACAGCTCATGTAGTTGACAATATTTCTCTCAAAGCCTGTATCTTATTTGAGGAGAAAAGGTAAGTTTTTGTTCTAGTTTGAGTGTTTGTGCTAGGTCCATAACGTGTATCGAAGCCCAATTTTTACTGCTGAGCCACTGGGAAGGGGAGGAGAAAAGGAACACTATTTCTATGTTAAATTTCTACTTAGATATCATGAGCACTAGCATATCGGTTACGTGAAAATATGGAGGTAAGATTTATGTCTCTAGTGTTTCCTTATTCCATTGTTTTTGATCAAAGTGTTACTTTGTAATTGATAATAATGCTTTGTAACCAAATTTCTCTCCAACTTTAAGATTTTCCCACCGTCTTATTTTGACTGGCAAAGTCTAAATGGCTAAAACATGTACTTAACATTAGTTTTAGTAGTGAATCACTTCTCCGTTGATTTAGTTTCCGGAAGAGACCAACCTCAAAGAATATAGTCAACTTCGGGAAGTTAGAACTAAACTAAAAGGTGGATGTAAAAACCATTCTAAAAGGTGGACGTAAAACTACACTAAAAGGTGGAATTAAAATGTCAAGTTTTTATAGGGCCGTATTCTTTAAAGTAGATATTTGTGATTTGTTGGCGATACATTTCAACAATAAACAGACAGCACACAATACCCTTGTTTTAAAATGATATATTCAAAACAAGTAAAACTTATGTACAAAAAATTCATTACACTATTTGTTATCACAGTTCTATCCAGAGCTTTAAATAATTGTCCATTTTTCGTCCATACAGGTAGGTTCAATTAATTTAGAACAACCTTTGACAAGAAAAATTATTCCCCCTCTATCTCTGTTATTACAATACAAGCTGTGAAACTCAATTTAGAAATCGCCCGTTACGGCTAAACTCACACGTAGTCTAACTTCACTTTTACTTTCACTTTCACTAACTTAACTTATTTCCACTATCTTGGCTGCCTATATATGTATATATATATATAGAGAGAGACTGAGGCCTAGAACTTTCTACAAACTACGAAACGTTATGATGTAACAGTACTCATTAAAAGCAACGAGAAAAATTCAAAAGGTCCGTGTAACACCACATCAGTTCACAAAAATTGAAGTATGCAACAAATGATTTGTAAACAGTTACGTAAGCAAACTTCTCATAACTATCGTTTCTATGTATAACTTACCTTAACACACACACAATATAAACGAAATGATACTCCCCTATTAAATCCAAAACGAACAGTCTTATATATATATAACATAAAAACTACACTAAAAGGCTAAGAAATCTCAAGCTGAACACGGTAGGATAAAAAAAAAGTATCAATCTCTTGTGAAGATTGGAGCGAATGATGACTCTGTTGAACATCACCACCCGTGTCGTGGATTTCAAAAGCCACTTCTGCTGTTCAGACGACTGCATTCAGGAAACTCATGGACATATTTGCCAATGCGGAAGACAACGTACACGTAGCAGTGAATTGTTCAAAATTGCTTGAATATGGTTTGGAAGGTGTTTTTTACACACATAATTACCATGTACTGTGACCATGATGCATCACACGACTATGTACGTAGTTTTCTGCGTGATCATGTACAGGTTAATGTGTCTTGTCGATTAATTTTGAATCAGCAGTATGATAATTTTTATAAATATCGTCTATCTAATTATCGCAAATGTTTCCAAGTGTAATAGGAAAAAAACATTTTGTGCACATACTACTCCTTCCCTCCCCATTTGCATACAATCTACAAATCTTTGACACTCTTGACTGACGTTTTGTGATAAGCCAAACTGATAATGGAGGTAAGATTTTTCACAAAATATCTTGAAACTAGTCTAAATATTCCAAGAATTAAATCTCGTTTTTCTACACAATCATTTCTCTGTTCGGGCTAAAGTTATTAATACATTTGTGTTCCGATAGTCGTAATTGTCAGTTTAGTTGTGAATTTTATATATTTAGTTTTCACATTATTCTATGAGTTTCCCTAATAAACTGTTATCAAAATTTTTAAAATGACATACCTACATATTACATGATAAATAACTAAGAAAACATTAAGCGTGGAATTCACAGGCGCATGCCTACTAACGTGTTAGAACAACTCACAAACTTGCCAACGCTTTCTGTTTTATATTACATGATTGTAATTGTAATTAACTCCAAAAGGGCGCTTAAAACTATAAAGAAGTATCTTAAGATATTTCCCATAATGCCTCGAACTAACGATATTTTTCTGAGTATTCTGTCCACACCTTTAAGGATTTCAAATTTTATTTTAAAACTAATCAACCAAGAAACTTAAAAGAAATAAAACAGTTAATAAGACACCTTTAACAAGGGGGGTTATATTTTGTAAGATTATACTTAAATATTCAGAGCAATGCCATGGTGATTTCTAAAAATAAGTAAGGCTTGTCGGATTACGAGTCATAGAATCATACAAGTAAATTATATCTAATTTTTCAAAACGTACCATGATGAAATGCCAGTTCACCATACATGGGGAACAGCAACGAGACTTCAGCATGACAGATATAGGTCAGAAACAAAAATTGGAGCGTTTCAAATTAAGGCCTAATTAGTCATGGGAGATATTAAAAAAAATTTGTCGTTTGTCCTGTTTGTCAAAAAAAGTGTTCTTATTAAATGTTTATTGCCGCTTATCCAATTTGTTGTAGCTCATTGGTTTAGCAGTCTTCCAGAAACATTAACCTTAATTTGGAGTAGTCGTAAAGTGGCGTCATCTAGTGATAATATAAAACTTAGAAAACTCTTTACAATATAGTATACAACATGGAAAATTAATTAATTGAACAAAGTATCTGAAAAATATCGTTATTGTTAATCTTCTTATCTCATTGACGTGCTTTTTTTATCATGATACAGACGCGAGTAAAAGCTACGGAAATTACAAATTCATAAATGAGATTGCGATTGCTAAAATCTACAAGGTACAAATAATGGATGTGTAGATCGATCGTGCCCCTACCTTAACCTCGAGTGGGGCGAAGAGGAATAGCTGTTTTCGAGCTCCCCTGTTATCTTCCGAGGTTTTCCTAGAAACGCTTCAAACAGAAATACCTACCGGTATGTCGTTTCACGTCTAGATCCTAAATGTCATTACTTGCATTTTTTAGTAAATGATGACCATACGTAGTTCCTTAGCAATGCTGTGTAATTATTACATCCTCTTTAGCATAAATCTTTGAAAAGCAACCAGCAAAAACAAAGAGAAGTGGTGTATTTGGGTGAAAGATTTATATTAATTCTATTCGCTAACAAGTGAAAAAGTTAAGTGACATTTCCTTCATTAACTTTTTTGAGGCCCGGCATAGCCAGGTGGTTAAGGCGCTTGACTCTTAATCTGAGGGTTGTGGGTTCAACTCCCAGATCCACCAAACATGCTCCCTCTTTCAGCCAAGGGGGCGTTATATGTGACGGTCAATCCCACTATTCGTTGGTAAAAGAGTAGCTAGAGCTGGCGGGGGTGTTGATGACTAGCCGCCTTCCCTCTAGTTTTTCACTGCTAAATTAGGGACTGCAAACGTAGGTAGCCCTTGTGTAGCTTTGCGCGAAATTCAAAACTCTTTTCATCGGTAGAACAGATTTTTTTTACGGTTTTTGTTGAATCTCCAAAGCAAAATATTTAGATATTTATCTTGAATGATCGTTAACGCGTTAATAAAAGGCCTTTTTAACCACTCTCGCTTGCTAAAGCAAAGGTGTTTGGATAGTTTTTATTTATGAATTAACTAATACAGAAAACGATTTTTTAGTATGCAAATACTAAATGCCTTATTCTTTGATAATGAGTGTATTTCATATCTCTACACAATTTTTAAATTTCTCTAAGTTCTACTTTGTAACTTGCTAAATCCGGCATGAAGTGTTACTGTAACAGGTCCAGTCAAGTAACTGATATACTGTTTCATGAGATAGTTGTATTGTATCCTACTTAAACTTGTGTGTAGAGGACTCAGACCAGTACACATAATGTGTGAAGGGGGGTCTAATTTATGAGATCAAAAGTTATACATATTGTGTGAAGCACAATCAGCATGCTAATGCTATGAGGGATCTGGGGACTATTTCAAGACAAAAACTGCCAACACTTCATCAGAAGAATGTAGACTATGTAGAAAAAGTTAAATACCATAAGAAACTGTGATATAACTATATAAGCATATTTTTTTCCACCACAAAAATAGGGGGTTCGGGCGTCACCCCCTCCCCCACCACCAACACCACCTCGCGTACATGCGTGGTACTGTCACGTGAGAAAGAGATGTTCCGTATTTTTGTAATCCAGTTTTCTGATTGGTTGGACAGCTACAAGGAGACGTTGTTCTGCGGACGCAGTTTTGGCGGTCACAGAATAGATTTTTATTGACGTTCGAGAGAAGAAGAGATGTTTCCGTATTTTTGTAATCCAGTTTTCTGATTGGTTGGACAGCTACAAGGAGAAGTTGTTCTGCGGACGCAGTTTTGGTGTTCACAGAATAGATTTTTATTGACGTTCGAGAGAAGAAGAGATGTTTCCGTATTTTTGTAATCCAGTTTTCTGGTTGGTTGGACAGCTACAAGGAGAAGTTGTTCTGCGGACGCAGTTCTGGCGGTCACAGAATATATTTTTATTGACGTTTGAGAGAAGAAGAAATGTTTTCGTATTTTTGTAATCCAGTTTTCTTATGGTTGGACAGCTACAAGGAGAAGATATTCTGCGGACGCAGTTTTGGCGGTCACAGGATAGATTTCTATCGATGTTTGAGAGAAGAACTTATGTTCGAGAGAATTAAGACTCGTTAGTGAAGTTCCTTCTTTGGTGGAACTTGTTTTTTTATGTCCTGGTCAGTGCAAATTATTCATCAGTGAAAGTTGATTTTTTATTTTCATGTTCGGCTCATCTCCAGTAATAAAGCATTTTATTTTTATTTAAAATCATTGTGTAATATCTCTTACTGTAAAACCACTACACCTGTCGTTGCACGTTACTAGGCTCTAAAATATTTAGTTGTGGAGATCAGATAACGATGTGTTCAGTTTATCCTTGAATTACCACACTTTCATTAATAAGTAACGTTAATTTGGTTGGATTGGAATTT